ATGCCATGCCCCCATTCTCCTCTGTTGGCCTGGCTCTTGAGCTGGACTACACTTCTCTTGATGAGAAACCCAAGGGGGGGGGGTCTTAGCTGCAATGCATCATAGGAGATGCGCTTTAGGGCACCCAGAAGAGAGGGTTGCTGAGGACGTGGGGCCGGGAGGTGACCGATTAAGGCTCCCACAGGGCACAGTGGAAGCCACACTTTTGGCTTCCTTTTCCTAGCCGGAAGGAAGTATCTGGGCTTCCAGAAGGCTCATTTTTTCAGCCAGACGCGTCACCGCTCTAAGCCCCGTTTCCCATCAGAAACCCAGTTGCAAGGACACACTTTGCACCACTCCCAGCTAACGATGCACTTAGACTAGATGCCTTCCCAGGCCCTGACCCTGGAAATCAGCAGAGGCAGTGAATGCGGGCAGGGGTCCAGGCCACAGCAGAGGGAGCTGCAGGGTGTGGGGCAGTATGATGGGGAAGTAGCGGTTAGCAGGTGGCTGGGGCTGCTGCTGGTGCCTTGTCCTGTGGAGGGAAGAAGGGAGAGGAGCAGCAGGCAGTGGGGGCCTTCGGTCTGCCCTGTGACAGTGCCGGTGCTTGGCTTCAGTGCCCTGGCCCTACCCAGAGAGCGGTGCCAGGCAAGAAGGGCCAGTGCCTAGCAGGCACGGTGGGGGCAGCACAGCATCACTGCAGCTCCCAACCCAGATCCCTCCTTGCCCTATTCCAGGAAGACCATGCTGCTGGCCCAAATTGCGCATGCGTAAAGAATTAATGGGGGCCGGACACTCCGCTCTCTATCGCCACCTGTCGGCCACAAACTGGCACCGCGCTCCTCTCCTCTCCCCCCCTCCTACGCCGCATTCGCATTGGTCGGAGCCCTCCCTCCGGCCCAGCCAATCGGAGCCGCCTCACGTTGCCCTTCTAGTGCGTGCGATTGGGTGAGGGACTGACGTGTCCCTTTCCCCGCCTCGTTCTTTCCCCGCAACCCTTGTTCGTTAATGCGTTCTGATTGGCGGCGCTCTGCCGCTGATCTGTGCGACGATTGGCCGGCGCGGCAGAGGAAGGGTGGGGTGAGGTGAGGTGGTGTTTCCGGGGTAGAACGGAAGCACTGCGTGGGAGGCGGAAGTGCGGGTGCTCTGCGGAGGGTATGCAGGTGGGCCCGGCGCCTTCCCCGCCTGCCCGGGGTGGGGGGCCTCTCCTCCTGGGCCGTGTTCAGGCCGCCTCCTCCCCTGGCCCCCCTCCCCGCGCGGGGCAAGCGGGAGGGAGCTGCTCTGGTTTCCCAAGCGCCTCTGGAGCCGGTCGCAGGAGTCCTGCCGCGCTGGGTCAGGCCCTGCTCCGCCTTGCTCAGTGTCCAGCGCCCATGGGGCCCACGGGAGCGGTCGTTATCCACCTTCGCCCCTCGCTCCCGCCCGTGTTTTCTTTCTGAGCTGTTCCCAGTACCTGGTTGCTGTGCCGTTAGTAACCTCCTACGTTAAAGGTGGCTTATAATATTACTTAGTGGACATTGGCCCGCATTCCCCCATGGGCAGAGCTGAAACTTTGAAAAGTGGGGTGCAGATAGTGCAGAGGTCCTGTCACATAACACATTTTTTCCCAGGTTCAAAATAAACTTGAAGCTTTCCTGTGTCCTCGTGGCAGGGTATTTAGCAGAATTCTTTGGAATCTGACAGGGCTGCACCTTGAGCACTTCTGTCACGGCCTCAAACTTGCGACTTTTGAGCTGCCAGCCATGTGCCTTAGCACCCACGCTGCCTAAGCCCTGAAGTCTTACTGCTGTGCTAGGGGCCTCAGGCTGTCTTCTTTAGTTTAAGATTGAGGCGAAAATAAAAATAGCTTCATTTGGGATAACTTGAAAACAGTCTATGGGGCTGTGAAATGGGAGCATTGTTACCAGGAGCAGCTAACAGACAGAGGAATTGCAGATGAACGATTAGCTTGATTGCTGAAACATCAAGACCGTTAGAAAAGAGAGAAAGTTATTAACACGTCCGGAATTAAGAGTTTAGAAGTGATCCAGTAGGTCAGAATGAGCCATGACATCAACTGACTCCCTCAGCACTGCTGCACTTGAAATGCTGCAGCCACTGCCAGACTCGAAGGTGCAAGTGCACCTGTGCACCCCCTGAATGGATCTGCCCCTGCCTGTGTCGTACAGTGGCAGAGAGTGGCCACTGCAAGGGGGAGAGAGCAGAGTATGATCAGAGTTTTTCCCACTGTTGCGCTCTCACTTGCAGTCTCCAGCATTTAGGGTCTAACATGCTGTGATTCAGAGGCTGTGCCCCTAACTCTTGTGCTCAATAGCTACTGATGCACCTGTCCTCCAATAATTTGTTCGATCCCTTTTTGAATCTGGCTAAATTATCAGTCACCACGGCATCTGGTAGCAATGAGTTCCACACTGGAATTACATGCTGAATGAAGAATAACTTTCTTTTGTTAGTTTTAAACTCTTTACCTACTAGTTTTATTTTATGACCCTTAGTTCTCGTAGCATGAGACAGTAAATAATAAGTGCCTGTTCTCTTTCTGTGTTGCCCTTTTGAAGAAGTGAAACTTAAATGCTGAATTCTGTTAATAGGTTAAGGCTGGTGCTGCATTTGTGATAGCTGAACCTAGGCTGTGGGTTTCACTTGTTGTCTCCAGAGCTTTTTTTTGTTTAGAACTTTCTGAGCTTCTGTAGCAGTGGGTTTCCTTGTTCAGGTCAGTTTCCTGTGCACCTCATTCTTGGTCACCGTCTTTGTAGGACAGGTGGAAATCTCTTTGGTTTTCCTGCTGCTGACTTTTTACATCCAGACAAATATGAATCCAAACTTGGTTAATTAGTGCAGTCAAAATATAGACAGATTATGCTCACCCTTCTTCCATGATAACCTACAGACCACTGGGTACACAGTGCTTAAATCAATCTGCATTTGACAAAAGGAAATGCAGGAATTAATTTGATTCTGTATCAACTTTCCCATTCTCTGTTGCTGCCTCTGCTGCCAGCCAGTCCCCACCCCATATTCAGGATAGAGATAGCTGGATCTAATCATTAAAGTCTAGAGAAGAGAGAGTGAGGTTCTGTTCCTAGCTGTTGCCACTTATTTGCTGTCTTTCTTTGCAAGCCAATCCTCTGCTTTGGGCTTCAGTTTCTTTATGTGGTGGGTTTTTTTGTCCCCAATCATCCTCAAATTGTCCAGGAAATCGGAGCCTTGTCATCAGATCAGCACACAACAGAATAGACCTTTGCCCTCCATTAGGAACTGGAACCCCCTTGTGGGGACTGCCTCATTCAGTAGGAGCTGAGGTAGCAGGGAAAGTGCCGAAATCAGACACTTGAGCTTGGAACAGGAACTGCTGGGAGTTGGTAGAATGTCTGTGTGGGGCAGGCTGGAGAGGGTGATGGGTTAACTGGTTTTATTTATCAGGGCTTTATACCTGCAACAGACTCAACATGTTTCTTACGATGCGTGTCTCTTCCACAGGACTATCAGAATCTGCCAATTGACATCCAGACTAGCAAGCTCCTAGGTATTGATCTCTCTTTCACACTGGAGAGGGTGGGAGGGAGGAATTCTGGCACATTCACTTGCACTCTGAGTGTTTCCTAGTTTCTGAGATGCTACCATGAGCTGCCTTCTGCCTGACTTCAGATCAGCATGGCTAGCCATCTCTCTCTACACTCAGACCCAGAGCCCATGCCATTAACACATGCATGAGGGTCCTTCCACCTTGAAGTTTATGCTCTTTGCATACTGGGACTGTGTGTCCTCATTTCCTCTGTCATGGTTAATCCAGACAGAAATGGGGCTGAGTTGCCCTCAGTGGTGCTGCCTTGGTGTAGATCAGTGTTGTTGGGGTTTGTGTATAGGGCTAGTTTGACACTCCAAGGAAGGGCCCAGGATGGGCAGCAGCAGAGGGAGTCTCTCCTCCACAAACATGATTTCTCCTTGCTAGGGGGAGACAATTCCTGCTCCTTGGCCTGCCCAGTCCCCATCTCCTTCTTGTGAGATGGCCAACAAGGGAGGTACTCAGAATCAGCCATCTGATAGTCATTCAATTGCAGTGAGAGCACCAGACAGATCTTAGCTGGTTGGAATAGCATCTGCTTGCTGCCCTTCTGGTATGTAGCTGTCTAGTGTGAGGTTAGATGAAGGAATCCCTGTCCCGCTGGCAGTCTCCCAATCCAAGACTGGAAAAACATCTAGCCCCACCCCAGGTCTCAGTGGTGGCCTTCCTCTGACTTCCTCCTGCTGCAGACTGGCTGGTAGACAGGAGACACTGCAATCTAAAATGGCAGACGCACATGCTGCACATCCGCGAGAAGATCAACACGGCCATCCAAGACATGCCCGAGAGCGAGGAGATAAAGCAGCTTCTCTCGGGATCCTGTGAGTGGGACTCTTGGAAGGAAAAGGGGAGAGTGCCGTGGGTGCCTGACTGTATAAATATAGGGCTTCTTTGCCTATATTAGGTGCCTGGAGCTCACCTCAGCCTCTGGGCATCACTTAGTCATGGCTCCACTAGGCAGTTGGCTACCATGATTGCTGTAGCATGAGCGTTGCTGGTGAATTTGCCATCCAAAAAGCAGGGTGCTTGTGTGTTCCCTGCCAGACCTAACAATGTTTTCCATCCATTAAGCTTTTGCAGTAGATTTAAATCACTAGAGCAGGTCTATCAAAAATATGGCCTGCAAGGCTCCTGGAGGAATGGGGTCAAGCTGGGGTGGACCTACCACTAAACTGTCAGGTACAGAGCCCCACAGGAACCTGTGTCAGCAGCTGGTGGGTGAACAATCACTGTATTAACCTCCCTTCCAACATGCTGCCACTGCTTATCCCTTTGCTGTGGTCAGGTCTAAATATGGCCCACGAGGCTCCATGCAGTCCAGATATGGCTGGGCAGGAGTTCAGTTGAGTTTGACACCCCTGCACTAGAGTTGTCTAACCCTAAGATCATTAGTTATTAAAAGCCTTCCTTATTAAAGGGGTCAAAGAAACCCACCAACACATGTCCAGTGGCACAAGAGGCCCAGGGTGGCCCCTGCCTTGGTCCTGAGCAGCTGATAATGCACCACCCGCAGCCCTGGTAGTGACATTGGCACTCTCTCCAATTGCAGATATTCACTACTTCCACTGCCTGAGGATTGTGGACATTCTTAAAGGGACAGAAGCCTCCACTAAAAATATCTTTGGCCGCTACTCTTCCCAGCGCATGAAGGTAAGAGACAACAAAGGCAACACCAGAGGCAGAGACCAGAAAGCCCTGGATGCTCAGACTGGTCCTGGAATTTAATGCCCTGTTTCCCTTTCAAAGCAGATGGGGGTGGGGGCCAGGAAGCCTTTCACCTCTAGGCTGCTGGTTCAAACACAGCTTGAACCAAGAGTGAATAGAAGCTGTTGCTTTCCAGCAGCACCTGTGCAAATGAGCTATTCTCCACTCCCGGGGTCCATGTTACACAGACCACTGCTTCATCAGAGTGACTGTGGACCGCACTGCAGAGATGTGGGCATGGCAGAGAGCTGGCAGTGCTCTTAACCTTGTAGCTCTGGGCACCTTTCTGCATCCTTGAGCTTCCAGTCCCCAGGTGCACCAGTGTGCTAAGCCTATGCTCATTCCTTGGTTCTCAAACTGCACAGCATAAGGTTTCTTGCTCTTCTGGCTGCATCTTGTATGTTCTCAACCCCTTGTTCTCCCTTCCAGGACTGGCAGGAGGTTGTGTCCCTGTATGAGAAGGAAAATGCCTACCTAGGTAAGGCCCTGTAGCATGGGGACACTCGGGCATCTTGGAAATGTGCAGGAACCTGCCTACCCCAAGGGCCTCCCTGCTGTTGGACTGGAGAGCTCTTGGGTCAAGCTGCTGTTGCTGGTATGAGGCTGGCTGAGTTCCCAGCTGGTAGCACCTTACATGGCATGTGCCTGTTCCCAAATTATTAGCAGAGCATATCTCTCCTCTTCAGCTCCCTTAGTGTCTTGTATGTACATGTACCCCTCATCTGGTGCTGCCAAGGGTAAATAAAACAGCTGTCTTCACTATTATTGTGTATGGAGCTAAGGGGTGTGGGCAAGGCAGCATGAGGAAGAGCCTGGCAACAGTGATGTAAGCTCTCTGCCTGCTACTAGTATAGAAGCTTCAGGCTCCCTGTTCACTGATCCAGCACTGGCATGAATTTGACTTAACAGACATGGGGGAATAGGGTCAGACCCAGTAGAGAGGACACAGAGATCACAGTGAGTAGACCTGGGCTTGGCTTGCAGGGCTGCAGGTCGGCCTCTTTGATCGTGGGCCTGTTGACTGATGTGACCTTGAGGATGGGCCTGGTCAGTGCCTCAGATTTCTCCTCTTGTGACTTCTGCCCCTGTGCAGCAGAGCTCGCTAGCCTCCTTGTGCGCAACGTCAGCTATGAGATCCCGTCCCTGAAGAAGCAGATCAGCAAGTGCCAGCAGCTGCAACAGGAGTATAGCCGCAAGGAGGAAGAGTGCCAGCTGGGGGCTGCTGAGATGAGGGAACGCTTCTACACCTCCTGCAAACAGTACGGCATTACTGTGAGTCCCTCAGCACCTTCCTGTGCCTGGGGCATGGCCAGGCTGTGGCTAGATCTGCCCCACACCCTTCTGGGAGCTGAGTGAGCTGCCCATCCCTCTGATGTGTCTCCTAGCATCCTCCTGGACAGGAGTCATAACAGCCCCAGGGGCTGAGCACTCCATTGGGTCTCTCCTTTCCCAAAGAACCCCAGTCTCCTCCACTTCTCCTAAGAGAGACCCTTCCCCTTCCCCCAGGCCCTCCCTGGAAAGCAACACCCCCTGGCACTGAACACCACCCAGCATTGCACACTCAGTCCTAGGGGAATATAACTAGTGCCCTGAACTACATCCCTGATCTGCTGATGAAAAGGTCTCATCTGCCAGTGGCTGCTCTCTCTAGCCTCTCTGTTTAACATGGCCCAGGCTTGCCTTTGCCCCTCTTCCAGTCTGAGAGGGGCAGTGATGTGGGCACCTCAGTAAGAGACACCCATGTTGGAAAGTTGGGTCTCCCAGCCCTGGATTGGCTGCTTGCCCCCAGCTGGTGCCATATTTGTGCCTGTGGGTCTGCACACGTTGCCACTGATTGATCCCTCCAGATCTGTTTAATCCATTTCATCAGCCTCAGTGCCATTGTGTGATGCTTTGAGGTGGTGGTCCTTGCGTGGTCCTGCAAGTTCTAATATACCTGGGGTTGTCCCTGGCTGTCCCACTTCAGCATTCCCTCTGGGTCCAGCAGTCTTCTGCCCTTATACCACACTGTGTTTTCACAGGAGTCCTTCTCCTAGCCCATGATCTCTGCTGTGAAGCTGATCTAGGGGAACAAGAGTCTGTCCCATCCACCTGGCTGTGTTGGCTGCTTCCCATTGAGGGCTGTGCTTGGCTAGTGAGACGCTGCTGTGTGTCACCTGCTATCTGTTCTAATACTCATTCTTGCTCTGCAGGGGAATAATGTGCGCCGGGAGCTCCTGGCCTTGGTGAAGGACCTGCCATCACAACTGGCAGAGATTGGGGCTGGGGCCAAGGTGCTCTCAGAAGCCATCGAGCTGTACCAGGCCTGTGTGCAGTTTGCGTGCGAGAGGTAACCAGCCATGTGCATGGAGGGAAACTGAAGACTGATCCCTTTTCCCTTTTTCCTGCGCTTCCATCTGAGGCAGGAGGGGCATTAAAGGAGCCAAGTCCCCTGGAGCTTGTGACAGGAAGTCCCATGGCAAGGCACTTGAAGGGGTAGTAAGTGCTGTAGCCTTGCCAATAAATTCTGAAACTTTAGTCCCTGCTGCCCCCAAGCTCTGGTTTCACCCTTCATTAGTTGCTTGGTTACCTGGGAACATGCCACTGGAGTGCTTTGTTCTGGCAGCCTTGCAGGTTTCCTCACTGCTTGGGAGCATCTTTATGTATCCCCATTCCAGGCTGGGACCATCTCCTTTGCAGCAGAGACAAGCTTCTTGGTTTGCTAAACCCTCAGCCTAAGAGATACTCTCTGAGTTTTCCCCAGTAGGGGGGAGAGAGCAGTTAGCCGGTCTAAATTCAAGTAAAGTTGCAGCAAGAAAGATCACTTCAAAGCTTGTCCCAGGAAACTGTGTTTCTTTCCTCTGCGGCAGCCACCTTCACTTACCACTGATTGGGGCAAGGCTGTTTCATTAGTTCTGTCTGCGTCTACAGGTCAGTCTGGGGTCTTTCTGGTGTCAGGGGAGTTCCCCAGTATGGGCAGAGTTGAAGAACTTGCCATTCATTGGCAGGGCATAGAGGGGCACATGCCCCCCTCCCCCCTCCAGATTTCTGTGCTGATAGCAGGGCATGGAGCTGCAGCCTGGCTGGAACCAGGGCCCAACAGTGGTGGGAGTTGGGGTGGTGACGCAGTTTCTGCACCAATGACAGGGCGAAGGACTGCAGCCCAGCAGTAGTGGGGGTGGCAGTGGCAACACAGAGTTGTGTTCCCCCACTGTGGTGGCAGTGTGGAGTTGTGCCCCCACACTGGCAGCACTTGCGTGTCGCTTGTGTTGCCACTGATGCATAAGCCAGAACAAACTGTATGTGTGTGTGTGGGGAGATACAGATTGGGGTGCAGGTTGTGCGAACCTCTGTACCCTGGTGTTGATGCTGTCTTGTGCATTCCAGCTCCACAGAGCAGGTGGTGCCCATGCTGAGACACGTGCAGGAGTGTGGGGACACAACCATCTATGAGTGGAGGAAGGGGGTCAAGCCCACCACTGTGGAGCGCCCACACATGGAGGAGGTGTCGGAGCAGCAGGATGAGGAGGCGGTACGTTCCCAGAGTGGACTCAAATATCATTCGCTCAGGGCTAAGGGAGGTAGCTGAGCAGAGGGTACCCATGCCTCAGTGCCACATGAGCCCTTTTAGTTAGAGGAGCAGAGTGCAAGGGGGCATGTCATACCCACAGGCAGAGACAGTGAAGCCCCTCAGACTCCACCCACTGACTGCTGAGGTTCCAAACTCTAATTGTTCCCACTGACTGGAAGGGATGGTCCAAGGATCATCAGCTTGGAAACACTGAGACTCCTGGGTTCAATTCCCATCAAGGCTGACTCAGCCCTGGCTCTTGCCCAGGTAGAGAGGGTATCAGAGACGGGAGAATAGCAAGTCGTCTCTGCCCAGTATGGGCCTCAGAGAGGCTTTGGCCTGAGTCCTGGACCAGGATGTGCTTTCCCCTCCATGCTGTGGAGTGCTGTCTGTGGCCTAAGGTGGCTGCATGTCTGTGGTGGAGGAAGGAATCCCTTGATTTGAATGAGCATTGAGAGATCCTTCAGGTGTGTGTGCATGTGAATTCCTCTTCCTTTCTGTGTTCCCCAAGATGTCAGTGAACATCCTTCTCTGGAATTCCCAAATCACTTCCAGAGACAACAGGAAGTAGTTGAAGCCCAGAACAGATAGAGGAAAGTTCCCCCATGCTAGAGTCATGGGACAGAGAGAGCAGCTCATTCTGGAGCTGTCTTATCAATAGATCAAAGGGGGTGGAGGCAGTGCTGTCCAGGTACCTGGTATCAGGGACAGCTCACAGCTTCAGGGGGTGTCTTGGTCTTCTTGCAGATTGACTGGGGAGACTTTGCAGTGGAGTCGGTGCCAGTTCTGGATGCAGCTGATTATGGCATCTCCACTGAAGATGGAGCCCAGGTTGAAGAGATTGACTGGGGCATCTCGTTGGAGCCTGCCCCCCAGGTGAGTGGAGGCCGGGTGTGCCTTCCCCTTGCCCAGGAACCCTGCTAGGCTGTTAACTAGCAGCATGGGCTGTAGCCCTGCTTCGTCATGTCTGGGCCACTTGGGGGAGGCCAGGAAACCTCATGGTTAGAGATCTGGATTGGGACTGAGTAGACTTGTCGTGTTCCAAGCTCTGCTAGTGCCTTTCTGGGGCACTTTGGGCAAGTCACTGCCTGCTCTGGGCCTCAGTTTCCCCTCTATAAGTTAAAGGTAACCCTGTGTTGGATGGGCCAGTGGATCCACTGAGGAAGCGCACCCCGTGGGAGGTGGGCATTCTGGTTGGCATCTTGGCAACTCCTCTGTCAAGGCCAAGCCAGCACTGAGTGCTGCTTCCCTGGATCCTTTGGGGCAGGCCATCCGCTTCCTGGTGCTCCACACCTATTCTCACAGGAGGCTGGTTTTATCTTGCTGCAGGGAGCTGTCGGCGATGGGATCGACTGGGGCAGTGGGGACAGCGAGACGGTGCAGATCTCAGTGCTGGAGACTGGGACCCAGGGTAAGGTCTTTACAGCAGCAGGATATGGCAGGCCTGACTTTCTTCCTCCCAAGCTCTAATCTGAGCTGCTCATGGCCCTGTGGATGCTCCCCCTGGCAGCTGAAATGGCAGAGGAGCATGGTTGGCAGGAGAGTTTTTCCCAAAACCGCTGGCCTATATGAACCAAGGGTCTCAAATGAACTGGACCATCAGGATTCTGGCTGGTGCAAAATTTAGGAGGGAAGGGATCCCAACGGATGGAAAGATGGCCACTCAGGCACTTGGGCTGAATTTATCTCTGGAACACGTGGATCCAAACAGCAGGGAATGGAGAGAGTGTGACCACTAGAGGGTGCCCTGGGCTGTAACTTTGTAGCTAAGACAGCGATCAACCTGGGCTTGGAATGCTTAGGGTCATCTAAGGGGGGAGAGTGTTCACATGGAGAGCACTTCCCATGGGGCTTCCCCGTGGGGCAGATAGGCTTAACACTGGGCGTATCAGGCACTTTGCTTACCAACTGCAAAGCTCTGGGTAAGCGGCTCTAAATCCTGGGCATGCAGTTCCATGGAGTGCCCTGCCAGCCCTCATACAGTCCAGCAGAGTCTCCACTGCTCTGTCACTCACCCCCTCTTTCCCCATGTGCTTTTCCCGTTCAGTGTCAGAGGGAGTTGCCCGAGGCCCTGATGCTCTGACCCTCCTGGAGAACCCTGAGACCCGGAGCCAGTTTATCGATGAGCTCATGGAGGTACCTGCCCTGGGCTAATCTTTTGCCTTCCCCTAGTCCTTGCCTGAGAGGACCCTAAAGATCAGTACTTCCATGAGGGAAATCAGGAGTCCTGGCTTCCAGACCTGTCCCCCTGTTCTGACCATTAGCCCCCATGTCTTCCACCTTTTCTTCCACTCTTTCAAGGGCACTTGGTTGAGTGTCTGGAGCTCTGAAAGGTTTTAATAAGAGAGCTGGAGATAAATCATTCTCCTACCAATCTAAACCCATTGGCCCAGATGCTCCCCCACCCAGAGCTGACACCTAGGTAGCCTGGGCTGTGATGCTTTTTCAGGAGTCTCAGCTGTTCCATACCAGTGCAGCTGAATGGTCTCTTACAGATGCAGGTGGGCTGCCAGTGTGCACATCTCCCAGGGATGGGCTTGGGCCCCAGGCCTCTCCTTATCCAGCTTCCATTCCACCTGAACACAAGGTGGGGATGACTTGCCCCACAACTGCCCAGCACAGTCATTTCACACTGTCATCTTGTCCAGCCCCCTGCTCAAGGCAGGATCAGCCCTGATCAGTCCTGACTAAACCATCCCAGACAACTATCTGTCTAGCCTGCTTCTGAAAATTTCCAGGGATGGAGATTCCACAACTTCTCCATCCAGCTTCTCCAACAGTAGCCTGTTCCAGTGTTTGACCACCCTCGTAGTCAAACAGTTCCTCCTGAAGTCCAACTTAAAGTTCCTCTGCTAAAGCTTGAGGCCATTGCTCCTAGCCCTGTCCCCTATGGCAATGATTCTCAAACCTTTTAGACTCAAGGCACTCTTGGATATACTCAGAGCAGCCTTTGGAAAATGCCAGCTCTTTGTTTTCACTTTTTTTTTGACTACAGAAAAATAATAGAACAATTCTTTTATTGCAAATAATTCAGAAAGCTCACAGCTGGGAAGAATGTGTTTGCCATTATGGATTCTTATTTGAAATCTCTGGGTTTACCATGTAAATCATGTTTGCACACCAAAAAGTGCCAACATTGTGTGGCACTCCACAGCCCTTTTGAAATGGTCTTAAGGCACCCCAGGGTTCCACAGCACCCTGGTTGAAAACCAGTGCCCTCTGGCCTCAGAAAAAACCCATCTCCATCCTCTCAGTAACTGCTCTTCAGGTATTTGAAGACTGTTATCAAACTCTGCCTCAGTCTTCTCTTCTTTAGGTCCATGATGTTCATGAGGTTTCCTTTACCAGGCTTCTAGCCCGATAACATAAAGTCTGTTTCTAGGCTGCACCCTATGAGTAGGGAACAGGCTTGTGCTGGGGTGCTGCAGAGCCTGTGTCCACTGACTTTTTAGTTCTGAAAACACAGAACCTTCTACCAAGGGCTGCAGAAACTTGGGAAGGAGCATTCTTGGCTCTTTAAATCCCTCCTTTGCCTGCAGAATTTGGTGGCCTCAGGAGGATGTAGAATTCCCTTGTTACGGCTTGCTCCCCACTCACTGTCTCTCCTTCCCTCCCCAGCTGGAGACCTTTCTATCCCAACGCATTGTGGAGATGAGTGAAGAGGCTGATGTTCTATCTGTGAGCCAGTTCCAGTTGGCTCCACCTATCCTGCAGGGCCAGACTACGGAGAAGGTGGCAGACAGTCTGTCAGTCATCCAGGACCTGATTGGGCAGCTGACCAACCTACGGATGCAGCACCTATTCATGATCCTCGCCTCCCCAAGGTCTGTGGGCCAGGCCCCCTGCTGGGAGACTTCTGGGCATTCCTTTGAGGGTAGCAGAGATCCCCATGCTGGGGGGGTGGGGCACACTGGCCCCTGGGTGATGGAAAGTATTGGAGTGTAGCAAACAGGGCTGGAAGGGCCCTCAGGAGATGGTCTAGTCCTACTGTCTGCCAAAGGCAGGACTATCCCTGCCAAGTATTTGTCTAACCTGCCCTTGAAACCTTCCCATAATGGAGCCTCCCTGGCTATCCCTGAACGGGACATCCAGATTTGAACTGTGAACCTCATAATGAGTAGTGAACTGCACTACCCCCTCCCCCACTGGTCAGGTTGGGCTGCCTTCCCAGAGGCAGCACACTGGTGTGAGCAGGGGTGTCTGGACTGAGATGGTAAGGGATGGGAATAAGACTGGTGCTCTTGGGTGGAGTTAACAGAGTGATCTCTATTCATGGGATTTGGGTCTGCCTGGGCAGGTACGTGGACCGCGTGAGCGACCTCCTGCGGCAGAAGCTGAAGCAGGCAGACTTGCTAGTGCTGAAGAAGGAACTCATGGTACAGAAGAGGGAGGCGGCGCTGGCAGAGCAGGGTGCCTTGGAGCCCAGGCTCGACCTGCTTGTACAGAAAACCAAGGAGCTGCAGAAACTAGTAAGAAGTGGGAAGGGCCTTCTATGCAGGGCACGTGCTCTTCCTGTGACTTGGGACTCTGAGCCAGCTCTCACCCACCCAGTAGCCTCCCTTCACAGGACCCGGGGGAGTGGGACTTGAGACCAGTTCTGAGACACAAGACCTGCACCTCACTGTGTGTTGCACTTGTTGCTGACAGTGAGTCTAGCTGCACCCAACAGCTGTCCCACAGCAGAGCTCCAGAGAGCATCCCTGGGCACTTACCACCCACTACATAGCTCTTTTGGGTGTGGAGATTGGGAACCAGTGGGTAGGACTTATTTCTTGGCAGCAGGTTGCAATTTAGAAGTACTGCATAAGCTCTCACCCACATGGGATGCAATGTCCCAGTATTAGGCAGCCTCGGCATCAGCTGTCAGATGCATGGGACCTGTTCTCTCTGTCTCTCAGAGCACAGGGCCTAAGTCAAGCCCCTGAAACCTAAGCGCCACTCTCCCTAAACACCTGTGCCATGTGTGGGATCCTGATGCCCACTCTGACTATGCCCTGGATGTTGCTTCTCTCTTAGTAACTCCTTCAGGCTTTAACCCTGTAACTCTTTTCTTTCAGATCGAAGCAGACATTTCCAAACGGTACAGCGGGCGACCTGTGAATCTGATGGGCATGTCCCTGTGATGCCCCCTCTGCCACCCAGCGTTACTACCCTGGGGCTGGAACAGGGGTCACCCCATGGAGTTGGAACAGATAAGACTTTCCCAGTGCTCCACCACCTGGGACTTGCCAGTTTGTTGCTCACGTTTTAATGAGGAGGTGTTTCTAGGCACTGGGCTTTACAGCTTGTGGCCTTCCTATGGCTCCGTGCAGGTGGGAAGGGGTTGCTTTAATAAAGCAGGGGAGCCTGCTCCAGCCCCTGTCCCGGCTCCTGATTTTGAGGTGCACACTACTTTGTCTGACCAGGCTTTGGGGTCCCTCACTCTGCTGGGATAGACTTACCCTCCATATGCATCACTGGATTCTGGTCCTGCCCCTACCTGAGCAAGGAGGTCCACCTCCTTGTCTGAGTCCTGCACATTGCTCCCCCGACCCTTAGGAACACATCCTGCACAGTAGCAATTGGCTCAGTGCACAGGGCTTCAGGCAGGGGTCAGAACGTGATACAGGCCTGACACCAGGGGACTGTGGTGTAACAGATCCCTCTCTTCTCCACCCTTCTTCAACCCCTTACCTGCCTGCCACTGACCAGGTCAGCTCCCAGCACTGGCCTCCTGCACCCACCTGGCCTTTAGCCTGGGGTGGGGATGAAATCAGCCAACAGAGTGGTACTCTTTGTAGCCTGGCCAGTGCTCCTAAATTCTCCTCCCCCCATCACCACCCTGCCAGCTCCCTGTTGGCAGAGCACCCACTGGTGACACAGAGCCATGTCTGTGCCTGGCTGCGGGCCCTGCAGTGCCCCCACCCTCGCCATGCTCTGAGGGAGGCTTTTGGGGTGGGCGGGGGGGGGAGGAGATTTGATTTTAATTTCATAGCAGAGCAGTTGATTCATGGCTCTTTGTCGCTGGCGTTGACTCCCGTAATGACTTTCCATCAAAATGAAAAGTAAAGGCCGCCCCCTCCCTGCTGCCTTTCAGCCGTCCCGGACAGTGAGTGATGGCCCCTATTAATCACCGACCCCGCGGACACACGCTATCCACAAGAGAAGGGGGAGAGAGATAAGGCACTGGGAACCGCTCCGATCAATTAATGTCAAGCGGCGTCACCCCTCCAGCCCCTCAGCCTCGCCCCCTTTGGGGGGACGGGGAGAGGGAAAGGAGCGTTGGTGCCTCCCGCACTCGTTGCACTGTTCTCAGGAGAGGGAGTCCAGTCTCATCCTTCTCCCCTTTCTACTGTGCGCTAAGCCGGGAAGGCCCTGCCCTGCAGCCGCTGGCTGCACTTCAGCTGGCTGAGGGCGTCCCCATGGGGCCACATCTAGCCAGCACCTGCTCTCCCAGCCCCAGTCTGCTTTCTCCCCCATGATGTCACCGCACCCCTTGCCATAAGTCATTGGTTCCTGTCATGTCTGCTGTCCCGCCTTCTGTTATCTCTCAACAGCCCATTGGTTCCAGCTCGTCATTGATCCCACCTCTCACTTGGGTAGTGGATGCTACCCAAGGCTTCAAAAGAACCACCTCCCCCCCCAACCTCCCCTTCAGCTAATGCAGGGTTCTCCCAGAGGTGGGGAGGGCCTGCCCTGCCCTCTTGGTGATTGGGGAAAGACCCACCATGTGCTTGGCACTGTATAAGCAGAGAGGAAGAGCTGCCCCTGTCCCTAAGGACTCCTGGTCTGAACAGCCAAGGGGTCAAGAAGGGATACAACTGACCAGCAGAGAGTTCTGGACAGCGGCTGTCCCTCCTGTGATTGCTTTCCAGGGTAGGCCAGGCAAGGGGTGGGGTAAAAAAGAAGTGGGTCGGGGAAGCAATGAAGGAAAATGTTGGCTTGCTTGTGTCCAGGCTCAGATTCCAGTGGTGAGGCAGGGGAGAGGTGAGGCAGAGGTGTGGCTGGAAACAGAGGAGGGGTCTGAGGCTATGAGACTGAGGGAGCTGTCAGCTATGGCCCTGGGACTCCCCCAGGATCGGAGCAATGCACAAATCCTATTGCTGCAGTCTCAGGTAGCTGAGAAGTCCCTGAGCCTTGGGTCTTAGCCTGGCCTGTGAAGAACAGTGAGGGGCTGTGCCCCCTGGTGCTGGGATTGCAGCTGGGGATAGGCTGCCCTGAGCAGAAAAGAGATCTTTGCCCTTCTCCCCACAGTGCAGGGGCCTGGAATCCCTGTGAACTTCACCTAGCTAATGCTGTGATGCCAGGGGCCTGCTCCCAAGCCTGTGGCAGCCAAGGGGTAGGCTTCCCACTGAAGTCAGGGGAGGAGGCCCTTGTTGAGCTGTCATGCTACAGTCACAGTGACCCAGGCTTCACAGTTTTCCATTGCAGAGCCCTGGTTCTTCCTGGGCCCAGTCACATGGCCAGCCTCCTTCCTACAGCTGGGCAGGGTGCAGGTTGTCACCTGGCTGGTGGGGTCAGGCACTGAGCTGCCTCGACTTCAAATGTTGACCTGTAATGCTGTTGTGTGAGGGCAGGCACTGTCCCTGGGGCCTTCCTCTGTCGGCCCTTGTTCTGAGGGCCCCTTACTAGCTCCAAGAGGTCCAGTGGCACAGGTGTAGCTCACTGATTTCAGGAGCTGATGTGCCTGCTGCTGCACCTGTGCTCTGCTCATGCCAGTGAAGCTTAACCCCACTGGCTGATGTGAGCCCCTCAGGGCCCCAGGAAGACTCCTCTGTTCTTCACACACATTTATTTTGTATAGTGCTGTATGTTCATTGCAGGGCTGTGTTGTTCTTGGCGTGGTACAAGCATTGGCTTCTGGGAGCCATCACAGATCTTGAGACTAGCCTGTTCTATGTACGTGTCCCCAGCTGCCAGTGCATGTCCTCTCTTCCCTGTAGGCACTGAAAAGAGTGACTTAACTTTTGGAGCTCACATTGCAGTATAAATCTAAAACTGGAGGGGTGGGGAAGGGCAGTGGTGGTTGGAATGCCCTGGAGACATCCATATATTCACAGCAGGAGCCAGCCTTCCTCAGACTACCTGAGCCATTGCCGTGGAGGAAACCCTTCTGAGGTGAAGTCAGCCTCTGCCAGCAGGCAAGCAGTCGTGGTGATGCAGACAACTGTCTTACTTGGACCTGGACTCTAGAAGCAAAGACTGGGGCACTACTGCCTTGGTCTGGATTTGGACCTTGTAGCCTGGGGTTGATGAAGTTGCACCACAGATAGGGCTGTCTGTTCCCCTGAACACTTGTATAAATAGCAACAAGTCCTCTCTACAAACCTATTTCCTGCAGCCTACCCCTGGCAGTTACCCTGCCACACACATGCACCTTATCCTAATTCTCTCCCCTCCCCAGTCAGGTCCTTTCTCCACCTTGCTCCCAGGTTTGGAATCAGACCAGTCTCTGCTCTGCTGCTGTCACTGCACCAGTTGTTCCAGTGCTAGAGCTGGCCTGGGCCCACAGTGGTTCCTTCACACGTCACTTGTTCCCCTGTGAATCTCCAAGCCCTCCTGAGGCTGCAGCCCCCTTCCTCCCTCACCTCAAAATGGACTCAACAGGGCCTGGGCCCCTTGTATAGCTGGCAGCAGCCCCAGCTAAACCGGCTTCTTGGGGTGGAACAAGCCCAGCCCCTTTCCTACCAATCTCACGGGTCTGTCCCCTGAATCAGGTGGGATCCTGTGGGCACCATCCCCTGCTTTCTGCCTTGGCCTTCACATACATCTCTGCTGGGGCTGCCATGCAGCAGGCATGCTCTGCCGAACAGTCTCCCAAGAGGCCCCATGCCCTGCAGCCCTAGAGATCCGCTTTGTATGGCAGACAGTCCCCTAGTGAAGAGTGGGTGGGGGTCGCAGGGTCCCTGCCTGTCTCAGCTAGGGCTGACTGGTGGGGTTCCACATGGCCCTTCCCCAGGTGAGGTCTCTTCCCCTAGCAGAACAACAAAAAAATGCTTTGTGCCTTGACTTGCATGGCAGAGAAACTCCTATGCATCACAGTGCCCCAGCTTAGCTTGGCAGAAACCTTCTTTGGTTCAGCATGGCAGAGATGTGCCCATCTCCTGCAGCTGCAGGGAAGTATCCCCAACCCCAGTGCCCTGGCCCAGCAAGGCAGAAGCATTCTCATCTTCCCCAATTCCCTACCTCAGCACAACAGAGGTGCCCTATTCCAGCATGCCAGAGAGTCCCCAGTACCCTACTTAGCTCAGTGTAGCAGATAACTGTCCATCCCTCCCCAGGTGCCCTAGCCCAGCACAAGAGTAAAACTCTCCCCCAACATCCTAGATTAGCTTGTCAGAGATATTCCATCCCCTCTTCCCTAGCTCAGCACAGCAGGGATGTCCGTGTGCCCAAATGCCATGGCAGAGATGCCCTAACCCTTGTCCCCCAGCTTAGCATGAATGAGGTGCCCCTGCCTCCCTGGTGTCCTCCCCCACCATAGCAGAGATACCCCATCCCCTCTCCCCTAGCTCAGCCCGGCAGAGACATGCCAGCTCAACATGGCAGGGATGGCCCAGACACCCTAGTGTTCTAGCTCAGCATGGCAGACATCTTTCGGCTGCTGTCCCTTCACTCCCAGCCAGGGTCCCTGTGCCCAGCGCAGCCTCTCTGCCCCCTTCAGCCCTGTCTCTTCCCATTCCCCATGGAAATAAATATTGTTGGCGTATTTAAACTTCATCACCGTGTCTAATAAAAAGTTCTGGGCTATTTCCCACCTTGGCGATCCATTAATGTCGCCCAACTGCCCTATCCCCGCGGCGCGCTGCCTCCACCCCCCGGGCCCCCCCCCCCAAGAACCCCACGCGTGGCACAGCCATTTGTCAAATGTGCCCGCAGGCTGCGCTTGGCTGTGTGTGAAAGGACGAGGCGCCACTGCAGGAGAAGGTGAACATGAATAAAGGGGCTATGCAAATTGCTGCTTAATCTGCAGAGAAACACCCAGGCTTTGGGGAGACTCTCATTACTCCTCTTAACTGTGATTAACGGATGAATTAAATGGTGCCCTTAACTCTTTCCTGGCTGGAGGATGACATGCACCAATCCCTCCTCCCCTCCCCACCATGCATACCAGTGCAAGGAGAATGGGAGTGTGATGGAGACATGGACATTTGCTCCCCCCTCCCACCATGCTGAAGCAGGAAGTAGCCCTGGAGCCTGGTGATGCAGAGGGTCACTGGGCTGGAGGCAGGGAAGGGTAAGAGGGAAAATACTCTTTCTCTTCCTCCCCTCTCCTACCCACTGCTGGGCCAAATTCAGTCTTGCCCTGTTGCTGTCCTGGCCCTGGGGCATCATAGTAATAAAGGCATTATGCTGGCAGCAGTCAGAGCTGGGA